AGAGGGAAGAAATACCTAGCAGTGCAAAAGTGAGTTTTTCCTCTTAACAGAGATAACTATGAAGAAGTCAGCACCTAAGACTTAACTAAGTCAGCTGAATTTGAGTCTACCTCAGATGCGTTCTCTTATATTTCCATCTCCCAGCCTTGACACCGAACTCTATGCTTCTATGCCCATTCAACACCCTGAATCTATAAATCCAGTAATATAAACTCAGAAGCCTAATAAATAATACAAAGTAATAAACCTAAATATTAATAATATAAACTAAGAGTTCTATAAAAATGGAAAACTTATGCATTATTGTGGCAGGACATAAAAACTAAGAATTATTATTTGCCAAAACAATCTACAACTGAAGTAATCACCATGTAATAAATGCTCCCGAACAAGGATATCTGTATACGTATCACTAGGCTGTAGATGAAGAGCAAACAGTTCTTCTTAAGGAGCTCGAAACATTTCATATTATGTCTCTCTTATTCATCGACCATCACTAGTAATAACAAGGAAGTGGGTCCAACAAGGTTTGATGACAGGGACACATTTTTATAGGAAAAGCAACTTCTTGTGAACAATCGCTTGCTTGGCAAAGTACTATGCAGAAAGATGGGTAGTGGAGACACGAGGGCCACGAGTACTTGGGGCAGCAAACATATACTTATAGAAGATTATTTTAATCAAAATTTGCTTCCTGGACAACCCAATTCAGAGAACATGTAAAGAAAGCAAATTGCACCCATACCACTACAACTGACTACGTATCAATGCCAGTTACACAGAAATACAATTAGTTAGAAACAATGAAAAAAAAAAACAGAAACAATAAACATATTTTTCCGTGAGAGATTAGCGATTGCAATGATTTTCTAATAATGTGGCAATTCCAAAATGAATCCAAGATTCTAGGTTTAGAACATTTGAATAAAGACATTTCATTTGTTGGCATGGTAAGACTTTTTGCTTTCATCTTTGAAAAGACGGTAAAGTCAAAAGAAAAACTCCATGATGAATCTGATTCAAAGACAAACCTCCCAGTTCCTCACCCGACTCACGTTTTCCTGAGTAAGGTTACTGGTTGCTCTAAGGCCCTCATCGTGGACGTGGTTCTGCAACTCCTGAATCATATGAGGTAAACCAGTGGACACAGCGCGGAGTAAGACATACATGTTTGCCATGTCTGAGGGGAAAAAGAAATGTGCTGATTAAATTCCCAGTACCGCTAATTGCCTGGGTAATACATGGTTCTAAACGCAGAAGTACAAAAGAGTATGCAGAGAAAAGTTGCCCCATGACCATCTCCCAGCCACCCTGTCCCCTCCCGGGGAAAGCAATGTCGTGGTTATTTAATATCTTTCCAGACGTGTTTTGTGTACATTCAAGCAAATACACATATTCTTCCCCCTGCCCCTTTTTATATAAATAATGCAGAGTATTTGATATATTATTTGCAGCTGCAGAACACATTTTAACATAAAAGTCTTTTTATATCAGTACATAATGCATTTCCACGTATTTTACAACTACATAGTACTCCATGATATGGATATATTACAATTACTTAACTTGACGGAAATTTAGGCAGTTTCCAATCTTTTGATATTACAATGTTGCAATTAATAATCTTGTATATGGGCAAGAATACACATAGCATCAATCACCTAAAAGTGGGATTGTTGTGTTAAAGTCTAATCGTGTAGATAGATCCTTCTAAACAGAGTTCCCAATGGTGGGGAGCTCCCTTGCCAACAACAGGTTACCAAACATTTTCATCTGACAGTGAGAGGTGAAACATGATGTCCTGGTGTAGTGGGTTTTAAACTTCTTATTGAAGTATAATGCACAGGCAGAAAAGTATACAAACCACACGTGAACATGCAATGCACCCATGTAATCACACCCAGGGTAAGAAACAGACATTACCTACACACAGAAATCCCCTTCTTCCTCCTCCCAATCACTACTCCCCCTTCTCCTCTGCAAAGATAACCACTGTCATGAATACTCAACCACAGATGAATCTGAACTATGCTTAAAAGTGGAGTCATAATTCATTTATGTCTGGTTTCTTCAATATAATGTTTATAAGCACCACCTATGTTGTTGTATTTGTTGTTTAATTTGCTCATTTCCACTCCTCTATAATATTCCACTGTATAAATACACTGTACTCTATCCACTCTGTTACTGGCCATTTGAGCTGCTTCAGTTTGGAGCTATTACAAATGTTCACGATGCTGCTATGAACATTCCTGTATGTGTCTTTTTGCACATACGTGCACACATGTGGGGGGTCTTATATGCCTAGAAGAATTGTTGGATCATAAAATAGGCATATATCCCATTCGGCAGTCACTGTCAGTTTTTCAAAGTGTTCACATCAACTTATACCCTCACCCTAGTGTTTAACAAGTTCCTGCTACTCCACACACTTCCTATTTAATACTTATCTTCAGTTTTTTCGATTTTATATCAAAATGTAAGTATTGATATCTTGGTGTGTTTTTAACTTCCATTCCCCTATGTTAATGAGATTGAGTATCTTTTTACGTATATTGGCCATTAGCTATCCTCTGTTCTGCAGGGCCTGCTCAAGTTTCTTGACCATTTTATATTTTGAATATAAATCTTTTGCAATATTGCAAGTATATTACCCTGTAACTGTCCTTTGATGATCTCGTGGTCTTACTGGTCTTCCAATGACCCCAAGTTTTCTATTTTAAGGTAGTCCACTGGATCAATCTTTCCTTTGTAGTTAGAGCTCTTTGCGTCCTGTGTAAAATATCTTTCCTTACCTCCAGGTTATGAATATATTCTCCTATATTATCTTTTAGAGTGTTATTGGTTTACCTTTCACATTTAGATGAAAACATACTGAACTGATTTTGTATATGGTGTCTGAGGTAGAGATCAAATTTCATTTTCTCCCCAAACGGATACCCAGCTGACTCAGCGCTATGTGTTGAAAGACTATCCTTCACCCCTGCTCTGCGGCGCACCTCAGATCAAGCATCTACGTATGCACGGGTCGGTTCCAGGCTCGCCATGTTATTTCATTGGTCTATCCTTGCACCAATGCCTCAATGTCTCAATCATTGTCGGCGTACAGTAAGTCTTGCTATCCTGTAAAGTCTTAACATCATTCTCTTGTCTTGGCCATTTTTTGTCCAAGAGTATAACTTTCAGAATTAAAAAAAAGAAAAAAATTATTGGGCTTTGATTAGATTGCCCTGGATCTATAAATTAATGTTGTCTTTATCAACGTTTAGCTTTCCATATGGGTTCTGG